AAACCCTTCTCACCATCATTGTTTTCCAGCTGCTCCAGGGACTTGGGACAGACTTATTGTAGAAACTTCGTATCCTGACTGAATGATCAACACACTCAAGAGGCAGCTCCGAGGTCCATGTGTATTCATGTGAATCTATGGACGGTACACTAATATTTCTCTAAACAAAACAGAGTATAGTATGTTACATTACGTTAACAGGACTTTCATTAGCATTATAAATGCTGTTAAATGTAGACCAATCTATATACCATGAAATACGAGGGATGCAACTTTATAGAGCCTCAACTCCAGACAATAAGTACTTACGCACTCACATTATAAATAATGGTGTGGTTTAAAGTACGGCCAATCTGGATCTCATAAACATCACCCAGTAAGCTGCTGTGGTTTAGCTGCCAGCTAACCAAGAGACTTTGCCTGTCACTCAGAGCCTGCAGATGAGTGATGCTTGGCCTTGAACGCTGCCAAACTGGAGCACAATGAACCTCAATGAATGCAATAATACAGCACAAAGTTAAAGTTCTTGGAAGATTTTAAATCAGTCAAGCTCACCAGTATCCTCAGAAGATATACGATACAACCAAAGCAGGCAAACCAAGGATATCTTGAGAGGTATCATGATCTCAGAGAAGTGATGAAAGTCAGCGCTGCACACATTAAGTGAAAGTCTCATGGGTCAGTGGTTACTGGCAGTTTGCCTGAGTATTGCACAATAATGTAAGAGCACCAATCCCTGAGAGGTGTGCAAACATGACTGATGTTAAAAGTAAAACACAGGAAAAACACACATGTGTTCGCCACAATAGTTTTATATACACAACACTATTCATATGGAACATCACAGTTCTGGTTACTTGGACACAAAGAGGACACATTTCAAACCAAATGTTATTCATGTTAACAGTGCATGAAGCAATTTACACACAATAACTTATCCAAAAAGCAGACAAACAGAACACATATAGCCATCCATCACAGAAACTCTTACAGTATCAGATAGCAAGATTTTTGGCACTTCAGTGAGAAAAGTAATGAGAGGAATAGAAGATCCTCTTTAAACAAAGCATGCATAGATGGCCTTTACAAAAAAAACTATACACATTTTTTACATCCATATAATAATTTTGGCATATTTATGTCTTTAAGATGCTCGAAATCCCTTATAAATATTATTAAAGAACACATGGAGGAATAAAGCTGTCTATACATATATAGTTTAGGGGAGGCCTCTTAAATATTTATTTTAAGTGCTCTTGAGAAAACAGCTTCTGTTCGGTTTTCCTGATACACTAACTCTCTAATTGGGGGGAATTAATGTACATCGTCCATCATCAAAGTGCAACAAACACTTACAGTATCAAAGTAGGAGTAAAAACATGGGAAGTGTAATTATAAAAGCTACAAAGAAATTGTTTGCAAAAAGGCACAATGGTTTCCTCACGTAGGAAGAGAATGATTAACATGTACACTGATAAAGGCACAGCACCTCCCCTGTAACATTTCCCTTATTGTATTACTTCAAAAATTAACTTATTTCCATCACATTTAGACACAAACATACACAACCACAACAAAGCAACACACATATATATGTTATCGTCTGTCCTGTTACATGTTGGAGAGCTTACATTAGGATTCTCAGAGATAAACTATATTCTCCTCGCCCACCTCCTCCCCGTTCTGTCCTTCAAGGGAGAGGTAAGCCTGCGGTGGAAGGAGGGGGGTCAGAGAGGGAGATGAAGAGAAGTCGCCCTCATACAGTCCATGACCAGTGATCTCAGACCTCCAGGGACCGAGGGGTCTCCTGTCCGATTGCGTGCTCAAGTCTGCTAGAAAAAGAACAGTCTTAAAAAAGGATATTTTTTGTTTTGTTTGTAAGATATAGATTCAGATTCAATTTATCTGTGTTCTCTTAAAAACTTGTATTACATTAAAATATCAATATGTACCGTTGACTGATGTTATGCCTTCCTTGAGCATGTATACAGTTCCAGATGAACTCTGTTTACTTCAGCACTGCCTAAATCCAGTGTTTTTAAATGCTATGGTTGAGCTCACAGTTTTAGTCATGCAACAAACCCTCAATCAATAAAAAAGACGTTTCTAAAAATGTCCTCACCCGTGAAAATTAATTTGTGAGTAGGTCAACTGTTATATTAAACCCATTCAAACATTGCACGTACTGTTGTTGGTCCTTTGTGGCTGTGCAGAGACTCTGCCGCTGAAGGGGTGGGTGGAGTCGTTCAGAGGCCGGGTGCAGCCTTGGTTGTTGCTGTAGTTCGGGAATGTCAGACCATCCGCGGGCTGTTTGCTGTGAGCCTGGCTCAGCAGGGTGTTCAGGCTGTTGTAGAGGCTTGCACTGAGGCCAAGGTTAGCGGTGTAACTGGAGCTGTTCAGAGAGCCATCATGGTTCTTCCTTGGCATGGAGAGCAGTCGCTGGTGCTGGTTGTTGTTGGCAGGCGGGTGGAGGCGGTTCTGCTGGAGGGAGGTGAGCAAAGCTGCCTCGTTCTCGTACAATGAACAGCTTCCATCCAGGCTGCCTGAGCGGCTATGGCCAGACACCTGGGAAATGGAAACAACACCTGGTATTTGTACTTTTTCCTGGCAAATATTTTCATCCCCACATCTTGATCCTCTACCTTCCTGTCAATCAACCCCATCTTTTCTAACCTTGTATCCATCCAGTGATATGGTAACAGGCAGACTGCTCTGCGGTTGTGTCTCCAGCTCTGCAGGAGCCTCTGCTGGGCTTCGATGTTTTCCTTCTCCCGCTCCACACTCCTCTGGCCGTCCCTTAGTCGGTCCAGATTTTGCTGATACTCCAGCAGCTGAGCCTCCAGCTCCTTGCGCTCGCATCGCAGACGCTCCGCCTCCAGGAAGCACTGCTGCTCTCGCTGCGCCAGTGCACTCTCCTGCTCACTCTGGAGACAGATATGTAACTTTTAAAAAAGGAGTGCTGATTGTGTGGTGCACTATTTATAAAAAGGTTGGAAACACATGCAATCAAGAGACCTCAACATGTTTGTTTTTATACGCAAATTATTAATCTGACTTTCCTGCTTCACATATAAACCAACACAGAACGTTACAGACTGGGGGCGGCTCTGTTGCAAAAGGATGCTAGCTGTCTTTGCATTTCAATGTGGCACATTTTGAGTATTTAAGAATTTAAAAAAGTAAACAGGAATATTTCATAACTGTGATTAATTGACAGTACTATAGCATTGGGAAAATGTTATGCTAAGAAACTTGCTAAGCAGAAACTTTAATTTATCTATCAACATTAGCCTTGAATTTGTATTTAAAGGATATTGGATTTTTTTAAAGATATTTTATGCCTTTATTTGCGGGACAATAAAGATTGAAAGGAAACATTTGAAGGAGAGAGTGGGGGAAAATGTAACAATTGTTGAAGGTTGGTATTAGTCATTTTTGAGTGTTTATTGCATGGCCTTGCGGAACAGTCTTTACATTTCATTGCGCATCTGTATGAGCCTGTGGCCACATAGGGTACGCAATCTAACTGCTGAGCTGAACTGACGACCTGACATGTTGCATTAGCTGTTTGTTCTTGCAAAAACACAAACCCACTTTCAACAGAAAAAAGGAAGTTAGAACATTTCCCCACAAAACATCTGAACTTCACAGGAAGTTCTGTTGATATCTACGATCTGCAAGAATCTGATCAGAGAGAGGTGCATTCCTGAATTCATCACAGTGTTTTATGACATATAAAAACCATGACTTTATAAGGGGTTAAGAATGCAAATATGATCTTGTTGAATTTTTCTAATAATTCTGTTCTTTGGTCGAGTCTACATCACAGCAACAGGTGGTGTTTTAGAATAACTACCTCTGATTTGACAGCATTGACTTGGGTGTGAAATTACCAGAAACTGGCACGGAAAAAAAGAGATGGGCAACAATAATAACCAAAACAATGGTAATGTAGCCCCAAACTGCCATGGGGTGACAACTGCAGGGAGAGAGAGAGAAATAACAGAATGGAGACGAAAGAGCGTCCAGGTAACTTAGCTGAAACATAAGCATGAGACTCACTGTTGTTTCTCTCTGGTCAGACATTCTCTGTCCCAGCGTTGCTGCTCCTGTTTTAGCCTCACATGAAGTTTCTTCACCCCCTCCACCTCCTCTTTCCTCCTCTCTGAACCTTTCTTTTCTACTTCCTCTTTCTTCTTATCAAAACTCCTCTGCTTCTCGAGCTCCTGGATAAAAACAAAAACAGGTTCAGTATGTTCTTATTTTAAAACTAGAACACAGAATTATAGTCTAGCCTCCTCAGAACACGTGTACATGTTGGTGTTGGTTTGAAGTCTAAACACTTATATTACCACACTGTTTTGGATGGAAGTGAGGGCTCGGAGCTGAGGTTTGTCTCCCTCCAGGAGGAGGAGTTTCTGGACTTCATGGCAGCTGTCCTGGAGGGTTACAGCAGCCTGCCAACACAAGGAGGAGAAAACCTGATCACAATCTGCATTACTCTATAACATCAACATGCGAGTGCTAGGGTGACATTTGTTCAGTCAGCTTATGGCAACTAAATCCTTTCAAATCTTAAACCTTTCTTAAATCAAGATAGCACTTTAAAATGACTGGAACACAACATTTTTCAGGTTATGTATTTAATTTTAAATGACAACTTGAGTGTTTTTCTCAATAATTAATTCTAAAGAAAATAAAAAGGGAGAAAGATTACATATGTAATAAGAAAACAACAACAAAAAAAACAGATCAGAAAATAACAGTATTTGATATCAATCATATCCTTTAAAAAGCTAAAAATTAACTCGCAGATTCCGTCACAGATAGTTTCCTCACCTGCAGACTATAAAGGAGCTGAGTCAGACTCTGGACGCTCTCTGCCACCTGCAGAAATCTGTGTTATTACACATGGACACTTAGGCATATTTTTAAATACATTTCTTAAGCGGTTTCAAAGTGTTCAACCTTAAACAGTGTCCCTTTGGTGTCTCCACTTTTCAGCTCAGCAGCAGAGCTCCACAACGCGCTGTCCATTCCCATCAGCTCGCTGTCTGATCCAAGAGACGTGGAGCTCATACTGAGCGTGCTCAGATAATCAGCTGAGGCAACAAAGAAAGATGAAAGACCCAAGTGTTACCGCTGGTGTGTGTAAGTCAATGTTGTTGAGCACATCCGGAAAATAAATGGTCAGGTTTTCAGTGGATCTGCCACTTACGCTCAGATGGAGACTCCTGGATGCTGCTGCCGTGGCTGTTGTAGCTGAAGCCCTCCGGTCCTCCCACAGGTGAGCCCTGACTCGGAACAGAAAGACCATCACGGGCCTGCAGCATGGAGATCAGGTTCTCCGCTGCAGAAACAAATATACATGGTGCTTTTTAGTCTCCCAGTATGCCAGTACACACTACTGTACCACACTACTTTAGATAAATGATTCACTCACACTTTAGTTTTGTTTCCATTCATATTGCATGCAGACTGATATTTCATTACTGATATTTCCAGAGTCATTCTACTTGGTATACGTCATATTAGTATAATTAGAGATGTGCTTTTGCTGCCGTGGATGAAGAAAAACTGAACAGAATGAAGAAGATTATAAAACATTTTCTAAACATCTTAATTTTTATAACAGTTTTTGTGTTCCATTGCTATAAACAAAGGCTGAAATGTGCTTATAGGTTAATGAAGGCAATTGTTTCAGTAAGGGTTAAGCCCCTGCGTGTACAGGAGGACAGTACTAGATGAAGTGTGTGAAACTGTGTTTACCATAATCTTATCCAGGCTCTCGTCATAAATAGATCTGATTCAACGTTAACACTTTCAAAATCTATATGCCAGTGTGGAAATACATTTTAAAGGGATGATGACTGAAAAACGTGTCAGAAGGATGAAATCATGTTCATATTTCACAATGCTAAAATATAGTTAAAAGGATGTGCCAAAATTAGACATGAGAATATGTTCTCAAACTTAATGCAGCATCATTAAGTTGCCACAGATAAGATTTTTATCGTTCACCTTCTCTGAGGGCAGCCGTGAGTATAGACGAGGCCTGTCTCGGCGTCTCGCTGTCAGTTTCTGGTTCCACCAGCAGATGGCGATGTTGTACAGCTTCTGGTGATCGCAGGGTTAACTCCGTGAGCTCAGCATAAAGCTGTAACTTCTCCTCCAGGCTGTTGCAGATTCGCTGGTCCTGAACCAACAGAGTCTCTGCAGAAACACACAATAAAACGACCTGCTGTTGTTTCTGGCTCTAACATAGAGCAAAGCTTCAAGGAACAGATTTATATTTGCATGTCAGCACACAAATGTTTTCTTACCTTGGAACTTGGTGATCTTCTGAGCTCTCACCTCTGCCGCTTTCTTGGCCTCCTCTAATTCGGCGGTTCTTTCCTCCTCTTCCTCTTCTTCAGGACAACTGGAAGTGGGTCAGAATATGAGTAACTCACAAACACAGTAAGTAATGTGAGTAACACACATTAACCAGGCGCACACACATTTAAATAACATGCACAGAAACACACTACAGATTTGATGTCACACACATGCAAACACACACCTCTCAACAGCTTGTCGTATTTGTCTCATCCATGCATTCCTCTCGTCTTTGGTGGTAGTGTGAACTTCATACATCTCTGGTCCAGCTGAGGAGGCAGAGATTAGGAACATCCCTCTCTCATGATTGGCTACTTCTCTAACAATGAGCTTCTGCAGAGGGATCACAGGAGGCTTCTGGTCCTGTGAAAAGAAAAAAGCACAAAAAGATGGGTCAAAGGATAGACAGAAATAGAGAACAAGCTATCTTTGATTTCAGACTTTTCTTCAGGTCAAGTCTTTCTTACCACAGCAGCAAATATAAAGCGCTGATCTTTTTCTTGTACGAAGACTAAAACATCTGTGAGCAGAAGAGCCAAAGTATCTGAAAATGAGAGAGGAGAAAATAAAATGAGGCTGGCTCTTTGTTACATTTAAAATATCTTGTGGGACTGAATGTTATTTATAGACACCTTTTAGACGTCCTGTGGCAGTCTTCCAGTAGACGAGCCCTTTATACTGCAGATCCCTGTTTTTCAAAAGAAGGTCCTGCTTGCGGAAAACCTTGCCATTCTTTAGCTTGGCAAAGCTCTTGTTCTCCAGCCGGGCCAGCACTTCCTGCAGCTCCTGACACCTCTCGTACTTATTTACAGTCAGGTCCACTGCAGCGATCACATCTCGGATCTGGGCCAGAGCTCGGGACAGATCCGAGTACTCCTGACCTCCCTCTGTGGGGGGAGGTAAAAGAAAAGTGACGTTAAGATACCATTATCCATACATTATCTTTATGGATTACCCTGCTAGGGGTCTTGGAGGGCTGGAGCCAATACCAACTGTCTTTGAGAGGCGGGGTACCTTAGACTGGCTGCCAGTCAATCACAGGGCTGACATAAAGAGACAGACAAGCATTCACACCCATGGGCAATTTTAGAGTCACCAATTACCCTAACGAGCATGTCTTTGGACTGTGAGACGACAGCGCTAACCACTGCACCACCGTACCATTATACCCCATACAAACATTGTTTGTCAGTCAGACAGAGCTGGTAGTAAAAAAAAATCTTATCATTTTGGAAAATGTATATATTAAATTTAAGGAAAAGCATATACAAAGCAACCTGTTGCAGTATTGTTATAAGATAGAGAGAACATACCCTGAGTGTAATGTAATATCCTCTCCAACAGCACCGGGTACTTGGTGATGCGCTGAGTGACCAGCAGGATGAATTCTGGGACCCCTCTCCGTCTGACCAGAGAGTTATTGCTCTGTTGCTGAGAGCAGAGAAATCAACACCAAAATGAGAATCAAATTGTTTTATATGTTAATCAATAGCCCAAGAAGTCTGTAGACAGGAGCTTACTTTGACAAAGTTTTGGAATTTTTTATTTTGTTGCTGCAGTTCTTTGAAAACATTGACGGCATCGGTGTGATGGCTGCAGAACTCGCCGTACACCTGCTTCATCTTCTCTGCATTTTCATCAGAGAACTAAGAAAGAGGCCATTAAAGAGGAATTACAGATTAGAGACTTGTGTTAATGTGTGCGTTTGACAAAATATAAACATATATCTGTGTGTGTTTATTCCCTTAAGTCTGTCTTCACCAACCTGCTGAAGCAGCACACTTCCAATGTGATGGATGAGGTAATTTCGGGGGTTCTCAGGTTGGGTTGCAGTCTGTCTGCACTCCTGCAGTGCACCAAAGAGGTTTCTGTGAAAGAGCAGCAGGGGGTCCAAGCAAGGGAAGATCCGTGCCACACAGTCCAAATCGAGCTGCAGCTCCTCCAGCATGCCCCTCCTGAACACCTCAGACATGACCGTCAGGGTTTGGATGTGGTGCAGCTCTGTTTGCATAAGCTCTATGATGGGTCACAGAAAGTGGATGTGGATGTTTACAGGTGCAAATCAGATGCTGAGATGGACACAGATCTCTCAGGCATGATATGATCTCACTAACTGGAGAAATCTCAGGGGATAATGGGATTACTTTAGGCGTTTTTGAATATACACATGAAAATGTCTAGAAAAGTTCAGGCAGGATTTCTCCTGATATCTTCTGAGTTGGTTGTTCACCTATGAACCTGTCAGACAAGGGGGTGTGGAGTGGCTCTCAGACACTATTATGACAATTTCCTTCATCCTAGAGAAACTCATAGTTCGTCATATTCACCATATCAACAAAAGAGCCAGGAAGAACATACTGGTTAACAGTTTCATTATGTGCACGGAGATCTCACAGGACGTATGCCAGTCGCGTACCAGTAACTTGATACAAACGTAATCAACCATTCCACTTGTTCGTGGTGAATTTCCCTGAATATATCCTGCTGCTTTCTCAAATTAGCTCATCCCGACCTCATGCACAAAAAAAAAAACCCACATTACTTGGGGGCTTGAAGAAGAAAGGCACGGGTAAAGACAGGTAGAAGAATGTGGCTGTCTTTTCTGTCACATGACATTTCAGGAGTTTTGTGTATGTGTGAGAGCAATTTAAAAGTGATGTTCTGCTGAATACAAGTGAAACTAATGGAATAATGGCTTATAACTGCACCTTTAAAACTTCCATTAAAAAAACTCCAAAAAGGTTTTGAGGGGGTCCCGACAGAGAGTTTTGTGGGGGTCTCGAAAAGGTTATCGTCATGCATATTGTTCATAAATAACACTGGATAAAGAAGAATCCTCCCACCATAAATAACATCCTGCCGTTTGATGGTTCGTCTGTCGTGAAGCCTGCAAAACTCCGGACTGACGGCCAGACTCCACGACTCAACCTCAAGTCCCAGCAGGTCAGCAGACAGGTCACTCAGTAGTGAGGCATCAACAGCATCTGCAGCATAAAAAAAAGAAACCTCAGCTTTTGTCTTAATCATATCCACCCAGCAGTATATGTTGAATGTTATAGGTATGACTGGTTATAGTGTACGTTTGTCTTCCTCACCCTGTGTGGTGATTGGTGGCTCAGTTGACGGGGCGGTCGCCGTGACCGGAGTTCCCTCATCAGATAATGAGCTGTTAGAGCAAACTGTCACACTGCACTCAGTGTCCTGAGCTGCTGCATCACTGAGCCGCCTGTACAGAAAATAAAGAAGTTAAGACCCATTTGTAGGTAGTTATTGTTCCCCACAAAATGCAGAGATACAAATCTAAATTAATTCATCAGTTTTGTGGTGTAGTCCCACCTCAATAATAATTTATCCTTTATTAATCCCACAAGGGGAAATTCAATTTTACACTCTGTCTAATGAACATGAACACAAACAAAAACTCTGATTAATATCATTCTGTTCCATTGGGTGATGTATAGTAGAAGTAAATAGTTTTAAAAGTACCTGCTGTCTATAGAGATGGAGAGGCTTTTGGAGAGGGGGGCGGTGGGGTCTCTCTTCTCTTTGGTCATTGTAGGAAGTGTAGAGGAAGAGGAGAAAATGGAGGTGGAAGTATTGTCTTTCACAGAGTCTGGAACAAAGAGCAGGAAAAGGATTCAGTCACTTCTTGGCGTCTTACCAATCCTACAAACAAATACTTCAAATGTCTGTTTTGTGTTGAAAAGCTTCATTTATACGTCCGTGTAGTCACTGAATGAAACACTAACTGGATTATAAAGCTATGAGGTGGTCTGTTTTGTTTTGTCAGTCTTTAACTGGGTGTGTTGCCTACAAATGTGACAATGTGTTGTAGTAATTTAAGCCGATCGTGTTGACCTTGACACCTTCAAAGTTTCACATTGAAAAGAAAAATGACAAACTGTGAGATAAACACTCAGGCACAACCACAACACGCATAGATACAATCCAGGCCAGATCCCCCACTGAGAAGGATTAAAATTTAACTTTTTACCAGGGAAAGAAAAACATGAAAGAGGGGACAGTGGGGATAAGGTGCTGAGGCCTTCTCAATCTACTACTGGAGAAGAAAGGAGGACAGGTAAAAAGTTAATTAATAGACAACAGAGGGAGGACTGCACGGGAGGGGGGGGGCATGCCGTAATTTCTGACTCACTCTGTGGGAGAGACAAAGTCTTGCTTTTCATCAGCACTGCATTCCTCTCCTGCTGCTTCTGAGAAGAGACATAATCATATTACAATCAACAGCTGTAAATCATAGCATTCTTGTGCTTGGAGTACAACCTACAGTCAATACTAGAGACAATTTATGCCCAGAGGAAAACATTAAAGAGACCCCCTTAGACCCTTAGTTATAAACATGTTCAATGAGTGATGTTCAACATGATCCATGAGCTCCTTTGCTAGATGTTGGAATTTGACTCTTCATGCTATATCCTGTTGCTCTCAGCCTGTCTCTCTTCAATAGCCGATTTATTTCTTTGTTTTGGCATGTAGCGGTGTTGCCTTCATTAGACAGCACAGCAGAGTGTAACAGGAAACAGAGAATATCATAGGGAAAGGCCAGCAATAAAATCAGGCTGATGCCACCACACAGCTTGCGTTTCATTCTAAAGGACATGCTCAAGTGGCGGTAACACATTTTTTACATTCCCTTAGAAGGATTTTAACTAATCCCCAATATGATATTTAAACTAATTGGATTTATAATGTCTAGCTTCATTTGTGAAAGTAATGGGTAGCATTGCAATTGCAGGGAGGGATTTCAGGGACTTGCTTACACTAGGTCCAGGTTCCTGTACCGTGCATGTTTATACACCTCTTCCAACTGTGCCAGGGCCATGGAAGTGTACCGTTGAATCCAGGACCGTTTGCCTAGTGTGAGTGCACCCTAACATTTCAGTTCAGTAAGGGTTGATTGTGTACTTTAAAGGCAACACGTGGTGTTTTTGAAAGGTGCTATGCAGTGCTAAGTTTGTCCCTGTCTAATATGGTATGCGTTATGCTTGTGCAAAAGGTGCATGGGCATATAGGTAAGTTCGCGTGTTGAGGTTTGATGCTAGTTCATGGCATTTACAAGAGAAACGTTGAAAAGTGATGAAAAAAAAGGCAGCTAGAAAGACGACAAGCTGGTAAACATTTATGTAAACAGTCAGTGCATAATTAGAAATATTCAAAACAGCAGTATGGTGACAACATGAGTACAAAGATACTTGTTTTTGGATGTCAAGGACTAACATTATATGTTTTAATGAGAATCACTGAATGCAAACATAACTTGCATTACTTGAATACAAAAGTTATACAAAACATAACTTTTGTATGTACAAGACAACTCCACAACTCCACAGGGCAATGAGAATTATTGTAAATCATTTAAGTGGCTCAGTCTGTAGGGACTCTGTTCTGGCCCTGCCAGTTATTCAGTGTTTTTTGCCGACTCCTGTTGGTCATCTATCGTAGTGCAGTGTTTTGGCATTGACTTTCTAGTTCCTGTGTGACAGGAAATTAACCTAAAAATGGCATACAGTGGAGCTGATGTCTGCTCATCCTTTGCCACCCTTCTTTCATAGCCCTTGAGAAGGCATTACCTGTAAGTTTGCATATTACAATATAGTTTATCTTTGATATAAGCTCATTCTTTTGTAAGATTTATGTTAATACTGGATGTGATGAGAAATTTGTTGTGAAGACTAAGCTAGCCTCAGTTTCATAGACATACATGGGTTCCAGCATGCACATTGACATGTATGTAGGTTTGATTATGTACGGTAATATTGGAGTTATGTACAACAAGTGATATTTACAAGTACTTTTCAGTTTGACACTGCTCATAAGTAAAGAATCTCAACATCACGCCGTGGTACTGAGAGTTACTGTGTGACGTGTTTATTTGCTGGATAACTGAATGAGGAAATCCAGTGAGGCCAGTGTAGACTCGGGTTGGGAACCGGAAGGTCACCAGTTCAAGTCCCAGTGCGGACGAAAATATGGAAGTTGGTCTGGTAGCTTTAGAGGTGCCAGGTCACTTCCGAGTACTACCAAGGTGCCTTTAAGCAAGGCACCGAACCCCAACGCATCTCTGGTGGGCTCCCTGTGTAGCAGTCCCACTCTGACATCTCTCCACTAGTGCATGTCCACAGGTCCTGTTTGAGCATGTGTGTATTTCGGGCCTATGTGTGACACAAGAACTTCCTTTTGGGATTAATAAAGTATGTACAATTAAAAGAATTGAAAAGAATTGAGGTAGTTAAGTGGTATGAGTGGATGGAGTTTTAAATAATTAAAGAGGCCCTGGAAAATATCACATTCAAACAATGGTGATTTTGTATTTTCCCCTATATTCCCCCAATGTTTCTGTGGAAGTACCTCTGTGGTAAATGTCAAAACAGTGATGATACTTTCAGTTATATTCTCACGGACAGAGTAGCTCTACAGATAACAAGCAAACTTTTCTCTGTGTCCATATTTAATTGAGTGCACATTTTAAGAGATAATTTGACTCACGAAATGCTGCAAGATTTAACACTCAACCCTTGTAAATATCTTACAAATCACAACACAGTGGGAGCATCTGGTTGTAATCCACAGCATAATGAGAAACAGATCAAACAAAGTGTTCGCATTCAGTAGAGATTGTCACAAACCTCTGTTTTTTAATGTTTGTGGAGTGATTTGTCCGTTTAAACTTTGACTGAAATCATTCAGTATTCTTGCTTGTTAGTGTGAGGTCAATGAAGCGGGTGATATCGGTTCTTACCTTGCCGCAAGCTGCAACGGACTCTCGACAGTTTTTATGGACATTAAGGAAACAGTCTGCAAACATAGACACGTGAAATCTCGGTTAATTCCATCACTTGACTGAAAATAAACACAATAACCACATTTCTGGATTCAATGTCCAGATTGCTGTCAAACTGCCATGCTGCTCAGGATTCATGCTAGCTTTGTGGGAGGAAGAAAACCAACTTCATGTCTACTGCTAAACAAAACATCAAGGCTACACGTGCAATGAGATTTACACAAACCCTAAACAGTTCAGCCACCACACACATAAAATAACATCACTGACAGTATAGTACTTACTGGAGCAGTGCAACAGCTCCTTCCCAGAAACAGACTTATCACAGGCCACACAGAGAGCAGGACCAGATGGAGACACAGGCACAAACTGGTGTCCATTAGAGGCTCCAGACTTCTCCTTTCCCTCCTTCACCTCTTTTCCCTTCACCTGAAATGCAAGTCATCATTTTTAAACTTCCTCAGTTAGCAGACTTTTACTGCAGATAATATCACATAAACCTCCAAAGAAGAAATAACTGTGTGCGGCAGTAGGATAGAGGGTAAAACACACCTGTTAAAGTGGAGTTAGCTGAGATAAAGGGGCCTCTCAGCGAGCCTTTCTGTTTACTTTGCTAAGGTCCATGGGGACTGGCTGCTGTTGTGGTGCTTTATCCTCAGGGGGGCATTAGGGGGGATTCCTCTGTGTACGTGTGTGATAGTTCAGTGTTTATTTTCATATCCAACTTTACAAGGAAGTCTAAGAGTGTGTGTTTGTTTTTGGACAGTTCATGTGGATCTCGTGTCTGAACATACATGAAAACATGTTCTTTAGCACATGCACACGTGTCTATAAAATGTAAAATATACTATGGAATGTGTTTTGGGTCCTCACACTGTGTGGAGCGGGGGGGTTTACATGCGTATTATGTAAGAGGATATTTTCAGCAGGTTGCGTTGCTAAGACATGAAAGAGAGGGAATTTTCTCCCTCACCAAATAAAGGCAGTGCACACAGACAAAGGATCCCCAGCACAGGAATTCTGACCCAGTCCGTTTGAGAGGTAGTAAAGCTTTTACTGCGTTTCTTTAGGAGGACTTCAAATTGGACTTGTTTAGGGTTTGGGTGCATACATTTCTCAGTCATGTTTCCTGAACATGTAGGTAAAATCTTAGCCAACAGGAATCATGTATTCCACTGAAGCACAGTCGATTGTGTTTCCTCACCTTGGTCTTGTTACGTGTGCTCGACATTCTGCTCTTTAGGAAGCTGAAGGTCCGGCTGACTTTGTACTTCTCTGACTCGACCTTCGACGGGATTATGTATTTATCCCACTCCTCGTCCTCAATCCTGTGTCAGTGTGAACATTTCAGTCAGCAATCATCAATATGTCCTTCATCATTTAAGCCTGTGGAAGACTGACACATTCAATCCTGACATGCACAGTCGTTATAAAACTAATAACTACTTCAGTACTTTAATAATACACAGAGAAGGGCAAAACTCTCAGGAATATTTGTGTCATGCTGGAATGAAAGAATGTCCAGACAGTCTTCCAGGACCCCTGGTCCGCAGACTATTACTCTTAACAACATGCTTGGCATGCTTGGAAGTCATTATGCACTAGTAGATGCTATTTATAGTATGACCTTGACAAGATGCAAATAATGATGTGTCAACATTTGACAGATTCGTATGCTAGTCGTAATACTGGACATTCTATGTGAAAGGCAACAATGACAGAAGGTTAAGAAGACAAACATGCAAAATCACATCAGACCAACACTACGACCCAACATAAAGATGTTTATAGGATTTAAGATGTTATATCTACTTCTGAAGATTCACTTATCACAGCTGCAAAGAATCCAAGCTGTTAATGGATGAGTCGGGGATGGTTGTACGGCGGGGTTAGAATGAGTTAAGCCACACATGCATGGCTGTGATGACATCTGGGTGAAAACATACTCTTTGAGGAACTCTGTGAGGGTGAGATGTTGGAGTGAAGCGCTGCTCTCCTCCTCTGCTGACTGGGCCCGCTTACGGAAACCCAAAACCCTGCATGGATATAACACACCTCAGACCAGGTTGTTGTGTTTGTCGGCTCATCAGGAAACTGTTATCAATCGGTGTGACATCTACGATTCAGATCTACAATCTCTCTTTAGTAAACAATAGATTAGCCAAGGCAGGGGGCTGCATCCACAATTTTTGTAAGATTGATACTAACTTTTTAACAACAAAGACGGTTGGTTAATTTCATCATGTTGTTGTGAATAATGTAGTATCAATATGATGTATTATAATTATACAGTATAATCTAATGATTTAATATGATAATATTATTACCTATTGTGTCTCCTCTGTTAGCGATGCATGGTCATTAGCAAACAAAATATGTTAGTGCATTATAAACGAATGAGATGAATAAAATGATGAAATGGAAATGTGTCCTCTATGAAATGAAAAAAGCTCATTTTGTCACACAGTAATATTATAAAGCTGTGATGTTAAATCAGTGCAGAAGAAGTAAAATCTACAATGAGAGAAGATAAAACTAAATGTTGTCAGTATAACTGATGTGATCTAGAACTGAAGAGATGTTTTTCAGGTCTGAAGTTCAGGAAAGCCTTGGGGTTAATTGTTTACTCAGGGTTTATTTTGAGGTTGCAATCGGAGAGTGTTCTGGTCTTGAAACAGGAAGTATGTCACATCCTGCACACTCTGACCACAAGTTTAATACTGGAAATAGACATGTAAAAGCACAAATGCAAACATGTAGGCCACTCTAAGCTGATGCCTAAAAAAAGAAGGGGGGGGAGGGGTGGTGGTGCATGTGATCATGATTGTTAAGCACAGATGAGCGTATTGCTGAGCTCATGATATCACACACAGGTTTCTTTTCTTTGGGAGTGTCACTCGGGCTGAATGCTCTCGACTCTGTAAGGTAGAACAACAAACCAGGAAATGACTAAACCAAAATTAAAGCCAATAAAACTGCAACCATTACAGTTCTAAGTGAATCAGCCAAATGAATAAAAAAAAAAAAAGCACCATCCACAATCAATTGAGTTAGAACAAATTGAAGAATCCCTGAACAGTCAAGATCCAGCAAACCCCTCGCAGAGAAAGAACAAACAAGGCATGAGAGCTTTGTTTTGAAAAAACCAGAAAAAGACACCAAAGATGGAAAATCCAAACAAGAGGGAAACTGAGTATGCACCCAAATGGAAGCAAAGCAGAGCCGCCGAGCAGAAACCACTCCTCCTTCAGATGATCTACAGGAGTTAAGTAGAGAGTATTTTTCCAAAGCCCTGGGATATTAAAAATACACAATGGTAACAATGCAGACCCCTGCTTGTCAGTCATTATATAAATCTGTGTGGAGTTGAGTTTGGCGACTATTGTTTTCTATTTTACTGAGAAACAGACAAAGTGATGACATCAAGCTCCACTTTGATCTTCCAGCGATCCAAAATAATAATAACAATTATCTTCTCCTACGAGACAGTAGTTTAAGCTTTGCATTTTTAAGTGCTGCTCTCACCACCAAAAACAAAACACATATATGAGGCTGTACAATTTGGGCCACAGTGAGAAACA